TGGTGGATCTGGTGGTCTGCAGATTTGGGATACACTTCACAAGTGGTTCGTGTATCTCATGGACTGTCTAGCATTTTTGGAGATGTGGAAGCTCACCCGTGTCCGGGAAGGGAGGACAACGATCTGAGGTGTTGTCTATCTGCCTGGTGCTGGCCTATTGCATTTGGGATGAGGCAAACTACCAAAAGTGCTACTTCAAGGCGGAGATGAGGCGTGCGGTCGTTGACGGTGGCAGAGACTGGGGATACACCACGATCTACCTATTCTACTCGCATGGACTTAATTATGTGGACAGAAAATCCCAAGGTCCGTAAATGATCTTCAAGCTAAAGGAATGATAAGCCATTGATAAGCCAATAAGCTTTGTACAAGATGGTTACGATGGTTACATGTTCGGGTCGGATGCGTCGGATGCGTCGGATGCCTAGAGTTGTGTGGTGATTGAAGTGATCCATTGGAATCCATTCTCCCAGGGGGCAGCTGATCCGAAGAGATTTGTTCCCTACTTTCCGACACGTCGAGAACCCGCAGCTTGACATGTGGTACGACAGGGGAGTCGATGATGCCTTTCTTTACTTGAATCAGTTGCCGGATGTTTGGAGAAACTATGTTTGAACCTGCTGTGAACTAGACTGTGCAGCTCCTTCCGTTCCCAAGGCTAGTGTGATGGTTGTCTTACAAATTACAAAGCAGAATATAGGTTCAAGCCTTGATCAAGCAATATGTTTGAAGCTATAGTTCTGTGAGTTCTGTGCGGGCACAAGTTGTATGACATGTGTCTTGGTCATTGGTGATCAGCAATAAACATCAATAAACAGCATGAATTCCACTGTGAACCTGGGAGATTTGGGAGATTTTGGGATCAATTGTGACATGGATCTGTGACGATTCTGTGTGATTCTGTGATTCTGTGCATCTTGGAACTTGGGGATGGGGATTGCTGGATCAACGCTGAAATCTGGCGCATGAGATGGTTAGAGATGACAAAGTTGAAGGATGTTGAAGGTTAGATATGGTTAGATCAGGTCTGGCTTGGTCATCCTCGGTCATATTAATCATATTGTATAAAATTGTACGCATGTGAAATCTTGTCAATTACATCCCCATGGAAGTGTACATAAACATACGTATAGATACACACAGTCACATTTGTAGATATCTACATCACATATATCATTGGACATGAAGATTATAAATTATATATAAAGTATATACATGTCCCAAGGAAATACATCAAGTGCGAGCAGGGCGTCTTGCTCACTGATGGATGGTCACCTGGCGATGCGAGAGCTTGTGATAGCTTGGGGCCATCCTGGACCTATCACAGTATGAATCCCTAATATCATAGCTGTCATAGCTGTCATAGCTGTCATAGCTGTCATAGCTGTCATGCTACATGCTGGGATATGCTTGGTCACCAAACTTGGTCACCAAACTTGGTGCTCCAAGAAACATCAGAAACAAACTGAGGCCCAAATCAGATCAGCCTGAAGCTGATGTCCACATCACATCACACTCTGGGTTTGATACCCATCCTGCCATGCGAACACGTCCCGACATGTTCAGGTATGGAAAAGCCAGAAAGATCCACTACACAGCCGACACGTCCCTTGGCATGTTGATGTCGTGAAGTTCTACAGGCGGAAACTTCTTGGTGTGAAGACATCAGCAGTTGAATATACCAGACTTCATTTGGCTCTTTGGGTTTGAAATCTCCGCGTCATCAGTTTTATCCCCACAAAACCTATTCCTTGCGCATAAGCACCGCAATTGTTTTGCTGATATTTGTAAGTTAAGTTAGTTAAGTTAGTTAAGTTAGTTTGCTTCCATAGCTATGCTATGCTATGCTGCTGGAGTCCTCACTTGGTTAACTCCCCAATTTCTTGTTGGCTATTTTGTTCGAATGTACGAGTCATATGAGTCATATCAAATCATGTTGGAAACCTGCCAGAAACCTCCAATTGGCGGCATGATTTTGGGTTTTGGGCAACGACTCGGGTTGACTCGGGTTGACCACGCACATTACTCTTCTTTCCGCAGGTGCATGGCCCTCCTTTGGGGCCTTGGCTGTGGTTTCAGCTCCTTCCTGCCGCACCTCAGCCACAAGAAAGGCTGCATTTGTTAAAGGGAAACACGTAGAAAAACATCAAAGTTTGGACAAAGATGGCCTGTGGGGGAGTTCTGATTGTGACCATTTCTCTCGAAGGTCGGTGAATCATGATTTGCCGAGAGAATTCCGGGACCAGAGTAGAGAGCCCACTGATTTGGCTCACATTTTATGTATGCCTATTGGGAAATATTGGGAATTCAATATATCTCAATCTTCTGATCCCTTCGTTGGAAACCTGCCGAAAAATTACATAACAATGAACCCTGATGCGAAATTTGAAAGAAGTGACGATCGATATAGAAACGATATATTTTCGGATAACCAAGCACATGGTACCGACAGGGTGCAGTGGCATGTTGCAGTGATATCATCGTTGTTTGGATAACCGGATGACCGGATGCCCTATTCCTGCGAGTACATAACAACCAACCGGCGGATTTCAAACATACCCACGGACTTGGGCAATTGCAAAAGATACTGAAGCATTCGGAACAGGTGTTGTAGCTAGAATGCCTGGTGCCCGGGTGCCCACAGTTGGAACAGTGGGAATGGCGGAATGGCCATCAATGGCAATGATTTGATTCTCTGAGCTCTAAAGATTCATCGATGGCCGTGATTTTTATCCAGATTTCAGGCCCCAGGCCCAGCAATAGGCCCACCAGTGTGCTAGGTTGCGTAGATGATCCATGGGTTGTCAACTGGTCAAGTGAATGGGTTACACAGTACCCCAAGATCAGTCGACTATACCCCAATGCAACTGGATGTTACACGATTCTACCTCAATATTCGATCATACTGATACTGAGTTTTACTGATACGCACTGGAACATCTTCAACTTGACTATGAAATCATATGAAATCTATGAAGATATCCTGAGTCACATCCCGAATCACATCCCGGCTGCAGGTATTTTTACTTTTGTTTCTTCGTGGCCATGATCAGCCACCGCGCCTTCCGAGACGAACAGCGCTGCGCCAAAAAGTACGGCGCCACCTGGGAGAAGTACATCAAGGTGGATGGTGGCCGGGTGACCAACGGATGCCCAGTTGAGAAGTGGCAAAAAATGACGAACGATCACTACATTATGATTATATGATGATTGCATGATGATGATCAATGATGAAATTTGTTGCGAAATGGATATATGATGGACCAAAAACATCCAAAAGCACTTTAAAGCCACCTTTCATATGGGGCAGCCTGCGACTCGTACCTAGTAGGATTTCAGAAGTGCAGAATCCTTTCAGCAATACTTCGGTGCCAGGCTGTGCCTTACAGACACCCGGCTGCACTACCAAAACCACGCATCTGATAAAAGGCCACAGCATTCCTTAGCCAAAGCAGAGAAAATGAACAGAAAATGCACAAAATATCGCTACACGATGCTTCTCATACTTTAATCTCCGACATTCTCCCACTTAAGGATTCATCCCAGGCGTATGGTGAGATGCCGTGCGCTCCTCAGAATCTTCCAAGGGTTTGTCTCTGGGAGGGACAGTATGTCATGCATTGTCATGCATTGTCATCAAATCATCGAGAAACAAGAATTTGACATAATTTGACATCATGCTCGAATTTCCCATCATTTCCCCATCTCACCTTCGAGCACCTCTCCAGGGCTCCCTTCCCGTGACCGGATCGGTGCGGGGTGGAGCCGGCGTGGAGCGCGGAAAGGATGAAATCTGTGACCAATCTGTGACTGAAATTTCTGGAGCCATCGCTATTGATGCAGAATGGATCAAAATCTCCAGTAGCAAGCAGAAAATGACACTAAATCGACTAAATCCAAACATTTGTTGCTGGGAGAACTTGTTTTTGTTGCACGTATCAGACCCCCTTCATTGCCATAAGTTGTAGTGAGTGGTGTGCTTTCCCGGAAATTGATAGGCACAACCCAGCAGTAGGGCGCATGGCCTTCAATCCACTCGCTTTAGACCGCTCTACTTCTTTTTTGCCTGTGCACATTCAATGGTGTTGTTTTTTGACTAGTAGCCTTGTATGAAACTGGCATGGCTCATGATATCATCCTGTGATTGCATCGGCAGGGTCCCTTAGAAGACCTTCATTTTGTTTCTGTTCAACTCTGCTGGTGTCAAATTCAGCACCTCGATTGGGTCAAATCCAGAGAAGTTTCCCCTTCACATCAGCTCTCAGCAGTCACCGCTTCCACAGCTTCTAATTTTGCTTCAATTCGTCAAGGGGAACTGTGGTCGGACATCAGCTCCGATGACAGTGGTTGACTTGAAGATTAGCTGCTCAAAATTGTGGCAATAACACTGAGACGATCAGAATTTTTCAATTTAACAACTCACCGGCTAATCTTCCAAAGCGCCAAGCATAGGACGGCAATGACACATGCCAAATCTACGAAAACCATGGAGATACCACCACTCAGAGGAGCTACAGATACAACTTTGACAGGGTCGTGTTTGCAGTGCACAGGGCTGCATTCAAGTGTTGCTTTGCAGTCTGACGTGTGGATGTCAGCTACCTTCATGATATTTTTTTCTTCCTGTGCCTTCTGTATTCTATCTCCACGAATTGAAACCAAAGAGGGGTCGACCCAAACTAGAAACGATTGCTACTTCAACGACAAATCAAAGGAAAATATACACCATTCCATTCCGTTCCATTCCGTTCACCTGCCGGCAACGCATTGTAGCTCCACTTTCTCCCACAGCGTGGATAACAGAGATCCGCCATTTGGGCCGTGCGATCCAGAAAAAAGTCGTGGCGATTTTGACTTCGTTGAAAAGCACTTTGTTTATGCGGTTTATGCGGTTTATGGTTGGGTTTATGATTGACGGAACAGAATATGAACGGAGCATGCCAACACAGAGTTTGCCATTCTCGGAGTTCTGGATGCCGAGCTTCCAAGTGTCTGGACAGGAATCCATCCGACCCTCATTATGCAGAAGCGAGGCACTCAGATGCAGTCCTGTGACCTTCGGCTAACGAAGCTGCTTGTGACAGGGACCCCCGTCCCAGAAAGCCTACCAATTCTTGCGATGTTTGGGTCTCTCACCGTGTTAGTGTAACCCACTGCCAACCATAAACATTATATTCTGGTCTTTGGCTCATTCATATCACGTTTGTAGATCGCAAAATTGTGCGAAACTGGCTACCCGGCACAAAACCATTTGCGGGATAAGAGTTGGGATTTCAATAGTTCACCAATAAAAGAGGTGGTCACAATGCAACAAGTCCAAGTATCAACTGGCGCATTGCCAACAACTGCAACTAAACATTGGCATCTATTCATATCTTTTTATATAATATATATAATTTGTTTATATCATATCTATTTAAAATATTTATATCTACGCGTTTCAGATCGACACTGCTGAGGTCCATGACTTCCTTTTCCATTTGGCGGTGAACCACGAAGTGGTGCCCGAGTTCGATGGCGTCGGCGTCCGGATCCTAGCATCCCATCCGTGGTTCCCGAAGCTGCCACCGATGAAAGTGTTTCATTGCACATTGATGTTACACAGACATAAATTAAACATATATGAATGTATGAATATATATACATACTATGTACGAAGCAAATATGTTGCATATGCAAAGCGCATGCACAGCGCATGCCAAAAGATTGATCTAGGCATCATATGCACTCGAGCCTTGTGGCCTTGTGGCCTTGTGGCCTTGTGGCCTTGGCGGTCTGAGGCTATGACCGGCTACAGCGCAAGCAGCCCCGATGAGGTGCGAGCCAAATCAGAAACGAAAACATGCCCTGGGATCAAATGGGAAGGCAGAACTGGAAGGGGAAGGGACTGAGAAACACAGACAGGTATCATCTATTGTCGAACATTGTCGTCAGAAAATGTCAGAAGTCCAACGTCAAGAAAGCCGACCCTTTGACAGGCGGCACTGTGCTACGGCGCGATGCATTTTGGCACCTTGGCAGCCCAGACATTTGTCACACCGGAGACGTTCGGCCGTTGGGTTTACTTTCATTTTGAAACCATCCTAATGACATCCAATAACCTTCATCATTCAGCTACTTGTTTTTTTTCAATGTCAAGGCTTTGGTATCTTGGTTTTGCTATCCCTTGGGAACCCTGTTGAGCCACACCCAAATTCCGGTCGCCCAGTCACATTTTTCTCATGGATCGTGCCCTTTCAGTGCGCTTCTGCCCTCATCACTCAAACATACTGTATCTTACAATTGTAATACTGTTGTAATTATGTCCTGCTTTTTGACTAGATATTGATGTCATATGATATCATATGATATAGATACAGATACAGCTTTGGATTTCTGTTTGATAGTGTGCAATTTATATATATATATACAAATCATTGTTATACCATATTGTATCATATTATATCTACTGTACATGATTTGTACAATTTGTACATGCCAATTGCTGGTTCCCGGTGCTTCGCCAGGATTCACCTTCCTGGGCCGTGATTCCGCTGGCGTCTCGGTGAAACTGGACGATGGCGAAATCAAGAAGGTGAGACGCCGCTGTGGCTCCGTCAGAAAATTCATGGTTAGTTCATGGTTAAACCAGGTTAGTTCCAGTTGAAACAGTTGAAACTGGGTGAGAGATGGCAATGGACTCAATGGACCCCTGGAAGATGGAGACGCCGGATTAGGAAGCGTCCTGAGTACGTGGCTTCCAAATGGGACTTCCAAATGTAGGATGAGGAAGGGAAAAATCTGAAATGCGCAGGGCCGCCATGGCCTTCCCGAGCCGCCCTCGATGCACAAAGTTTAGTGCTACAGTGTGGGAAGCCGAAATGAGGAAAAAAATAATGATAATGATAATGAGACACAGTCCACAGCCAGACCAGTATTGACCCTGTTTTTCCCTCCACCTGGAACCCGGAAGGTGGACATCTTGGCCACAATCAAATTCAACTCCACGCGAAAGCGCTCATCGGTGATCGCCAGATTCAAGGCGACCGGAAGTCATGGAGTGGGAAAAAAGAGTTTTTCTTGAGAATTCCCAAAGAACAGAAGCTGGAAAACCATCAAAACCATCAAAAATCATGGTTTAGCTGTGCTATGCTGTGCTATGCTGTGCTATGCTGTGCTATGCTGTGCTATGCTGTGCTATTCCGACACCCTCCTTTCCTTATCCTTTCCTTATCACCCTCGACAACACAGCTGACCAATTTGAAACCAATTGAGGCGATAGGCTAAACACATTTCAACACATTTCAACACACAACAGACCTTGAAAACCGAAAGCCAAGGGCAGTGGAAATGTGGAAACCGTTTTTTTTATTTTGGAACAAGGGATTTAGATGATTTAGGAGGGCCATTCGCATCTTTCAGATTTCACATGACGGATATCATGCCTACACTCAAAAAATCCTTGATATCTCTTGATACTTTGGGGGGGCAGTGACGGGTAGTGGAGTTGCCCCATGGTCCAGGAGGGCGACAAGGAGCGACTGGTGCTCTTCACCAAAGGTGCGGACACCGTGCCTTGTCGACACGTCAAGGAATGCTCCAGGGATGAGAGGCCAATCGTGTTTCAGGCTTTGGACGCATAGTCTTCACTATTGGGTTCAAACATGATGGTTTTGAGAGGAACAGAGTCACCGTTCTCACCCACCATTCTAATCCTTGCCCGTCCCGCGGCTGTTCGCTTTGCTCTCGACCAAGATCATCCTACAGCGATTGGCGCCGGAACATCAGAATTCTGCAGAGACCAGGCAGTCCATGGACACTTGGCACAGCGTTGCCAGTTGACCACGGTTGGATCGTCCCAAGAGGCAAAGGTGGCAAGTCCCCTATTGTGGCTATGCCATGCTATGCCAAGTGTTAAAGGTTTGAACCAAAAGGACCAGTTTCAAAGTAGGACGATCCAAGTACCCACTCCCCTGGATTGCATGATGAAAGGATCAGCGTTGACCCCAACGTTCTCAATTGGAGGTGATTCAAATGCAAGTTTCAGAGTTTTCTGTTTTCAACTCTGCACCCCCTTGTTGGTTTTCAGTATTGAAGCATATTGAAGCATATTGAAGCTACAAGTTCATTTTAATCCCAGCCGAGGAGACGCTGCGCGAGTTTGCAGAGGGCGGCTTGCGCACGTCCCTGGCCCAGTCCAAGGGGTCCAAGGGGTCCAAGGGCCATTCCATGGCAAGAGCGGCCAAAAAAGCGTCAACGTTCCATTTCCCAAATAGATTGAAAGTTGAAGAAATTTGAGATATCTGGAAATTGTTTGGATTTCACTAACCCCAGTATCAGCTGAATTGGTTTCTTGATGTTTCTTGTGATTTGTCGTGCGTTTCCGAATATCGCTCATCATGGTGCTCCAGACCAGGTTGTGCCTGGCCAGCCGCGATCTGACCAAGGACAGGGGTGGGAAGCTGTGGCCGGTAATCATCATGTAATCATCATGTTTGGGCAGATCCCAGCGATGTTGCTGGAAGTCGTTACGTTGCAAGCAATCCTCTGGCAGGAAGAGGTCGACAACTTCTTGAAGAAGTGGAATGAGGCGGTAGTTCTTTGCATGTTGATCACCCATTGTAATGCCATTTATGATTCTTTTGAATGGGGTTTAGCTGTTTACTATGTCATCGGGATCCAAAGTCATCAAACAACATCAAAAGCAATGAAATATAGTCTAATCCCTGTTGCTATTAACTACAAGGTGGCTGAACCTCCGAGAAAAATCATTGCTATGGAAAATGGATGAAAATGGTGCATTGACGTCTATACGCAGGATCCTCCCTTTCACAAAAATGCAATTCCCAAAATCCAGTCGGTTCATTTTCCCATGAGTTAAAAGGTTGAAACTACCCAGCAAAAATCTGTTTAGATCAGTCAAGATTTCAGGTCCAGAGCACCATAGATTTTGGCCATGGTTACAACCCGAAATGTACATTACTACCTATGAAGAATGGGGACTTCCAGCCAGGGTTTAGGGCCGTACCGCCTAAAAGCGCTGTTGGAACATAATCACCTGCCAACGTACACCCAGTGAGAAACCGAGTGATAAACCACACTCTGAAACCAGACACTGCCAGACACTGCACCGCTTCGCCGCCGCAGGCTTCCTTGGCGACGCACCACCGGGAGGAGAAGATGGATGCGGTCTCTGAGTCGCTGGAGGCGAGGAATTCTTTGTCGATGAATTTCGTCGGATTGGTTTTATTCCCATGGGATTTTTATCAGAACTATTCCTTAGCGATGTCCAGTTTATCATTTTTCATACATGACGAGAAGGCATATAGTTTGATAGGTTGATAGTGGCTATTGCATGTGCTACTGTGCTACTGTAGATGCATGCCAATGGATGACTCACGGGATTTTGAAATTCTTGCGAGTCTTGTCGATGTGTTTCTGACGTAAAGATTTGATGAATTTTCCCAAGGAGGAATGTCTTTTGAACCGAATAATTACCCTGCACAAGAATAGTTGGACGGGTAACCTCGAGGGAAATACTTGTTAAGCGGACTTCAAGAAAGAACAAAGGATCTTTGTTGATCTGATTCTACAAGCGTGATACATCATAGATTTCAACAGTTTGCCGTTTCCTGCCTTTGCGATGCATTCAGCATTACATAGTAATATTACTGTTTGGGAAAAATGTCCACTTGCATGTGTTCGAACTGCGTCATTCAGGTGAATTTAGTCCCAGCCTCAAGTGCTCAGAGAGGGCACCAGTCTCTGCAACCACGGCAAGTCACAGATTGAAACCGCATAGGCTCAATTTGTCAATGTTTCTGTTTCCATGCTAGATTCTGCTAGTAACTTGCTGTTTTTTTACATGTATGCGTCCATTTCGACCCCTGTCCTCGTCCCAAGGTCATGGATGGAATCACAGGAATCGAGGATCGCTTGCAGGATGAAGTGTCTGACACCATCATGAAGATGACGGAGGCCCTTAGTGCCTTAGTGTGCTCGGACTTGCTTCTTTGATGCTTTTGGTCAGAAGATTTGAGATATAGTTTGTTCAAGGGAAACATTGGGTTCAATTTGCCAATTTGTAGGCTTGAGTCATCTCTTCATATCCAGCAAAGCAGCGCAGAGAGAAGCGCGGCCATGGTCTTTCACAGCTGTTGGCAAGTGATCCCTTCAACCAACCTGTTCCTTCGTGCCAGGCAGGCATGAAAGTCTGGATGCTGACAGGTGACAAAACTGCATCTTGGCAGCAGATCCATCAGGGTTTTTCCCAAAATAGTTGACTCAAAAATTAGATAGCTTAATTATGCTTAATTCAGTCTATCATTTTCATAAATTTTCATATCGTTTTCATCAAAGGTGCTATTGCGGGGTATCTCACAAATCTTCGCATTTCATAAGATTTCATACTTGTCAGACCACAAGAAGCCGAAGCCGGCGAAGCCAGGAGACGGCCATCAACATCGGAGTGGCCACGGGGCTGTTGGCTGCCGAGCAAGGGGAGCTGGAGAGACCCATGTGCCTCGGCGACATCGGGGCGACATCGGATCAATTTGGATCAGTTTCTCTGGTTGAGGGACCTCTCTTAACCGAAAAGCGTGTCAATTTTGGTGTTGGAATAACGATGTCAACTGCTTTTTGACGCAAAACAATTGCGCGACACAACCATGGCCATACACCAAGGTTTTCGTCTGCAGACTTTGAGTCTGACGGCAACTTCAATTATGAGGACTGCCATTGATCCCACGGAAATATTGAATGTTTGTTCGTTGCTGAAACGCTGGGTCTGTTTTGAAATGATTGAAACATCGTAATGTGATAATTCAGTGATAATGGAGAATTTGCTCCAAAGATTAGGCAGATTCCAGCACTAGAAAGTGTCATGGAAGCCGCCACACTTGTGAAACAGGAAGCCGATGCACCGCAGAGCTGATCCATCGGCATCGGTGTATTTAATGTGTGTTGTGCTCCCATACCAGTGGATCAAGCCATTTCAGATTCATATTTTGAAACAGATCGATGAAAAGGTAGGCTTTAAAATGCTTTAAAGTTAAACCATTAGTATTTTGGATCGCAGTGAAGTAATGCATGAAATAAACATAAGAGAACGAGTGAAACATCAAGCAACGCTGAAGTAACACAGGGTACCTTCTGTGCTCACCTTTGTCAAATCACTCAACAATGCACCTGCAGGAGCTTCAGAAAAAGCTGCGCACAGTAGCTGACCAGGCACAGTCACCGTTCCGCTCCATTTTTCCAAGCAGCATGCAACAGCCCCATCACCTCTTGGCGTTCGAATTCACCTGAGGCACGCCAAGCCTACACAGAGTTCCTTGGCAAAATTTTGACTGTTGAAATCCAATTCTTGCGCAACATATCTCCAATCTGCCAATGCTCTTCGAGTTGACCATGGTGCTTCAAGCAACATCAAGCAATTTCAGCACTAAAGCCATGAGCCCAAGACTCCAAGATCACAAGTAACAGGATATCAGTTTTTTAAGTACAAATATAGTCATATATATATGTATAATATATGTGGCTTAAAGCCAGTTAGTGCATTTATGATGACACCGATGAACAGGTCCTTTTGGGGCCAAAGAACCTGGCAGTTGTGCTCGCACCAAGGAAGCGCATGTTCGAAGGAATGGTCATTGACGGCAAATGCCTCGAGTTGGCCCTGGAGGCCCAAAATGAGAAGGACCGCCGCCCGCCGCCAGGGGCCGCCGCCTTCAATGCACCCTCCCCGATGAAATCATGGGCTAACTTCAATATCTGTGTCCAACAAGTCCCAACAAGTCATACTAAAATCTGGTTGAAGTATGTTGAAGTGAGAAAGAATCGGAGGTCAATCGGAGGTCAAGCAGTTGTTTGATGTTTGCAATCAGTGTGGATCTCACTCGTGTCACCTTCACACGAAACAAGCAGATCAACATCGATCATTTGGACTGTAAAATAACCACATGGCCAACCGGATAAGAAAAAATAAGAAAAAATCTGCAGGACTTTGTGGCCATTTGCCGCACCTGCACAACCGTGCCTTGGCGCCGAATTGCCCTGTGAGAATTCGAGTGTCGAAAGTCTCATAGATACTTGTAGTCATTGTAGTGATGATTGGAAGATATAGAGAGAGAGAGAGATAGAAAGTCGAAATGTAAATATCTGCAAATGGTGTTAATTCAGCCCCAAGGCCTAAACAATAATTGTGAGCAGATGATGGGTTTTGAGCAGGTGTCAATTAGGTTTCAACAGATCAAGAAAATCCTGAAGTGTGGTCTCAGGTCATTTGCTGCCGGGTTTCTCCGAAGCAAAAGGGTGCTGTGGTGAGGCTCATCAAACAGGCCCCACGTGGGAAGTGACTAAAGTGACTGAAGTGACTGGAGTGACTAAAGCTAAGCTTGGTAACGGGAACATTGGGAAGCCCAAACAGAAACCCTTTGATCCTGCACTTCATTCATCATGTTTGTTTGTGAACCACACAAGGCCTTGTGCTATCTTGTGATCTTTTCATAGAGCAAAAATAAGTTCAACCCATCAAGATGTATTTCTTGAGTAACATGTTGCTCATTAAGAATATTAAGATCCCCCGAATTCTTGAGCATTGAATTCCACTTTTTCCTGTTTTCTTTTAGGTGGTGTGTTGATTGGTTAGATCGTTACAGTAAGCCGCATCACCAGGAGGAGAAGGCCATTACACTGGCGATCGGTTGCTTGGTGAAGATACGAAGGAAAGTGAAATTATCACTAGTTTTGAGGAAACAGGATATAAATGCTAATATCATCCATAGTTAGGGGATATCACATGCTTTTTGACGTATATAAATGCTATAACTTTGATACAACTCTTGTATAGCTCTGGTGTAACTTTGATAGAATGAAAATGCAGCTACCACTCGGAATCATTGGCCCTCAAAATTGTGATCCCATTCTTGAGCCACAGCCATTGCAGGAGCGCAAAAATCATACTGGAAATGTCTGAGTCCTCGACAACAAAAACCAGGATAGAATTGATAGAATCAACTAGCATACAGCATCATACAGCATAACTTGCGATCTTGCGATTTACCGGGGCTCGAAGCAAAAATATCATTTACCCGTGGGGGTATGATATCACTGGTTGATGGTTCATGTTTGCCCAGGTGACTTTCATAGGGATGATAGGGATGGGAGCCACCAATTCAATCAGATCCAAAGAGTTCCAACCGGATGTTTGCAGAGATGACATGTTTTCCAAAATTTATCCCTGTGTATCCTGTGTCAAACCAAACCAATTTGGCGGTTCACGCCGTGAAGCAAGGCATCTTTGTTTGGCGCTTCCCATTTTCACCCAGGTGATGGTGCAAACGATTGCAACATGATCATGTGACCTGGATCAATTCTGGTGGCAGACTTGGGGGTTGCAAGGCTTAGAAAATTGAAAGTGTATTGCAAAATAGAAATATGAAAACATGCCAAAGTACATCCCAGGACAGTTTATAGTTTGACTTGAGACCGCCAAACCAAGGAGTGCTGACGTTGGCATTGGTATTCGCGGTTTAGAAGGTCAGACAGCCGAAACAACCGAAGGGTGAAAGCTGCTATCGAAGATATTGCATGTTTGGAACCAACAAAAGGTGATTCCGTCCTTTGAAAGCCTCAGAGAGATGAATAAAGGACGACGAGCCAGAAATGTGGAAACTGGTGCAATGGGTCCCACAATGTCGTTACACTTGCCGTTCATTTGTCTCATTGAGCGCCAATACAGTCACATTCCCAAATGGGCAGGTCTGCAAGCGTTCAATGTCAGTGCCTCTCTCAGCGTCATTGAAGACTCGGTAGAATGGGAGCCGATTGGTAGGCCAGGCTTGGCAAAAAGCTGATCTCAAGATGCTGGAACTGAGAGCATCTGAAAGGGCTTTTTCTGAGGTGACTATGGCATCTCCCAATTCCGCTTCTTGCAATACCTCTTGTTGGTCCATGGTCGGTGGTGCTACAGAAGGAGCTGTGGTGTTGGAGTGGAGTTGGAAACAAATCTTCCTCGAGCGACATATGAAATGCGTTCAAGTTGGTGACACATAGCATAGAAATCATAGAAATAAAGTTTTTGCGGATGGATGATCTGTATCACAATTTTCACAGGATATGGATATGCTGCTATGCTGAATTCTGAAAGGGACAGCTGCAGGATCGCTATATTGGCAAACTACATGCTCCTGGGCGGAAGATTCAGAAGATACATCGGGCCGGCACAAGGGTCCAGCTTCATGCACTATTCATTTTGTGCTGGTTCCAAAGGTGTCCAGAATTCAAAAGACTCTGGATTTTCTAGCAATACAGCATCTACAACTCATTCTATTGGCACCATCTCAGCTGCCATGCTCCAGTCGAGGTTCTACAAGAACTTCGTTTGTGTGCTTCCACAGTATTTCCTGGGAATCTTGGCTGAAAGTGCAAGTGCACCTTGATCAGAACCCAGGTGTGATCATATCGATACCATACAGGACATACATTGGACATACATTGGACATACATTGGACATACATTATCATGCACATCCAGTGGTGAAGATTTTGGAGTCGCCGGTCGAGAACCGACTGAGCTCATTCGTATTGCAAGTTCTTTGTTTCTCGCTGTTTCTCATGTGCAGCGGCATTAAAGAATTGGATGTTTAGCTCGGGAGAATGGTTGCCAAGGTGCAGTCTCGGGATTTTCTGGACAGAAGCTCTACAACGATATCTTGTACCAGTTCTACAATGTGATTTGGACTCAATCAGCGTTAGCAGATCTCAGAAATTGCCCAAAGAGGGATTGTTTGCTGAATTCTTAGAGACATGAGTCATAATGAGTCATAATGTTGCAGGATTCATTGATTTAGCACCATGCAACAGAACAAGTCCGTGCGTCCTCCAATTGAATGCAGGGCACTGAAGAATGACATTCTGTCCCAAGTGAATGCAGCTGAATAAGTCAAGGTTGCGTTTGGGAGATTGATGCTACTACTACCTGTTGTTTTTCTATCTTTGTTCTCGTGATGGTAATTGTTTCTCTTCATACTTTTTGATATTTGAGCATGAGGGTGCAAAAACAAGACGGAGGAAGAAGGGGAAAAGATGGAAAAAGTGACGTTCCATGTTGTAGAACTCCTGTTCCAATGTTCCACTCACTTCTTGGGGTCTCAGTGAGTTCAATGGATTGGTTTGCAATTGGCGTTCAAGCCGCTTGGGTTCGTTTGCTCAGGTGTTCTTCACCTTTGTGCCGATCATGGTGTAGCTTGGAACAATGATCAGCCTTCCAACTAGGAATCCCTAACACCCTTCATCGCGCCCAAGACCCAGGGATGTTAGCATTGTTTTAGCTGTGATGAGAGCTTCGAATATCAAGGTTATCAAGCCTTCCAAGTTCACACTGTGACGCAAAATACGGCACCAAGTCCAGCCTTGTCTCAGGTTTGCAGTCCTAGACCAGGACGTGCCAAAGAAGGCAGCGCAGTCTTTCAACAAGCTCCTGGACAGATTCCATCAAGACCAATCCGCAAACCTATCAAAACCGAGAACATGATGAAAATGATGTAGCCAATGTAGCCACAAGTTCACATAATTGAAGAACCCGGCACCCATTCGCCAAACGACATGTTGGCAAGTTGCGCATAAACCGTCCTACAATGGGCGGTTGATAGTTCTAGGGCACGAAGATGAAATCATTCAGTCAAAGCGAATATCTACCGCCTAGCTGTGAACAAGTTTCATGTGTCATATCCACAGGCCTCACTGAAGTATCCAGAACTCTATCGAGCCGGAAAAGAGCGAATGTACATGATCCTTGGCTTGCGCACCCAAAAGCATTTCGCAACAAGGATCTCCCAAGTACCACATAGAAATCTGAAGTGTCGAAGCAACGTGTTTTTCTATGTGGTCACTGCGAAAAGAGTGTGAATATGCTGCAGGAGACCTTGAAGAGATGAAGAGTCTTTTGTTTCATTCCTTCAAGATACAGCTTTCCACAGGCCGTGGGTTGTGGAATTGAAGCAATTCGTAGAATCGAGTGATGCCTGACGTCTCCAAGGAATGTACAAGTTTGCCTCGGATGGATTGCCAGTGGCGTTTCTCGGAAGCCACTGGTGATGCACTGACAGCTTTGAGGGAGTGTGCTTGTGCCTTAAGGCATAGCAGCAGTTAGTGACCTGGTCTGTAAGTACGTCTTAAAATGATGATGGTGATGAGTAATGATGATTAATCATGATTGATGATCTGGCGATCTGGTGATGATCTGGTGATGTGGCACAGCGTGAAGCTACATCCCATGTGGCAAACTCCAAAACGTACTACTTATTGAGGTCACGGGATGAGCATTCGTGGTTTTCTTGGCCCATCTTGACCCGTTGTTCATCTATTCGCTGTGCGTTGTGAGAATTAGCACAGTGCACACACAGTGCTACAGAAAAAACCAGGTTTGGCACGGCCTAGTGGTATTCTTCATCCCATATCTGGTTCCTTGGTAAAAGGCTGGGCACGGAATGGCGCAAGGCTCGGAGTTGTTTTGGAAATTTATGGAAGTTCATGATGAGTTCATGATATCTCTTGTGATCTCTTCAGTTTTTCCTTCAATTCACTTTAGTTGTTGAGGCTTGGTTTTTCATTGTTTTTCTGGTAGCGCTGCTCTTCTGATTCGCACCGTGGATCTACATCAGCTGAGGTCATGTCCAACGGAAACACGACGCATCCTGATGGAAAGGCGAGCTGCACCAGCACCAGCTATCGCCAGCTACGATAGTTTGCCATAAAGTAGTAATGTTGGCTGCCTAATAATAAAAAAAAACCTAAATTTTTGAAAATGTTCCTTTTTTTTAGGGGGGGGTCAGCATTCCAATAGTAAATTCCTGGAACCCTATTCTGGATACTATACCATGCCCTCTGGACAAGGTCAGAACATGAGTTTTTTGGCAATACTAAAATTAAATTAAGCTAATTGACTTTTAGTATTGGAGATAAAACTGGAGTTGGGAAAAAAAGTTTTTACTATTGCCAAGATATCACTATTGGTTAGACAACATTAGCTGTTGCTATGGCTCCCAAAGATCAAGAAGTGAAACCTGGCATCCAATCGCATGGAACGCAGGGTGCGGGACAGACAAATTAGGAACTGCAAGCTACAGACGGATGGAGAACTGAATTGAAGAACTCTTTCCCTCAATTTCAGCAATGGTAGATGCATACAATGCCATGCAACTCATTTCCCCAAGTTCTATTGTTTCGGAGGCAAACGACATTTGGCTCGTGGGTTCGGTGGTTTTCTTCCAAGTCTGCCTGGTGACAAACCTCACAGTGCTCCTGGAGAGCCTTGGAGAAATTTGCAAAAGACACTTCGTGACAGCAGTGACGGCAGTGACGGATCGTGTGGCAAGTTGGCCTGGCCAGTGAAGTGATTTTTGGGCATTGGATGGTAAACGCAGGATTTACACATACTTTCAGGGCCAGCTGACATTCTAGACATATGTAATGGAAAGATATTAAAGTGAAACTCCGGTCAGAGCCAGAGAGCTTCTTGAAATATGCTGCCAACTGTTGACGCAAACCCGTATGTCATACGCCGTATGTTCGTCGTTGCTCCAGTTTTTGTTTGTCATTTCCAGGAGACATGTTAGATTTTAAAATGTTTCGGACCAAGCGGTTTCAGCCAAGGACTTGTTACTTGAACTGGCGCCTTGTCACAAAGCACTGCAAAGTGTTGCCATACGGAACAGGTCAAAACACTGTCAATTGCACTACTCAAGTTTGAGCACGAATGTAGGTTGAAGTTGAAAAGGTTCCTTATATTGAGAAAGACAAGATATTCCACTGTTTTGCAATGCATGTGAGACTCTGCAACACTGAGGGTCGTCGCTTTGGGCTTCTTCTTATCCTTATTGGCCTGGGTTCTCTTCCAAGGGCCCCTCATTTGCATTGCTGCACTAAAGGGTGCGGTCGCATGCAAAATCTAAGAAATGATTCACAATTCAAAAACTGGCTGCACCTCCTGTTAAATCGTTGATTGCAAAAAGCTGCAATGGATCTCTCTTTTTTCCAGGTTTGTGCACTCAGAATTCCTTGAATTAGATAAGAGGTGTTTCATTGAGCATGTGCAGAGTTGAGGGCCAGCAAACAAAGCACAGAGAAGATTTTGAGTTCCTCCCCGAACACGCACACAAACCGGAGAAGTCCAATCCCGACCCTTGAAACATGCTCTATACAGTCTGTACAGTCTATACCACACGTTCTACGTCACGTTGTCCGATATCTCAAGGTACATCTCGGGCTTGCATGGCGTTGTGGTGACTTCCGAGTTCTACGGTTCCATGCAACGTCTCTTAGGCGGGATATGGAGGATATGGCGGGATTGGGAGGTGGCCAAGTCAAATGATGCAAGAATGCAAGACATTAATTCCAGAGGCTACAAGAGGTTGCATCAGGTTGCAAGACAATGCATCATGTTGCTCCAGGTCATGAATATGATGGTTTGTGCGAAGGTATGCAGTAAAGCAGCTATTGTGTGCGGCATTTGCATCCGTTTCCTTCCAGCGTCATGATGTGCCATCGATCTTCTGCCAGATGCAAGAAGTGTTCCAGGATTGGAATTGTACAGATTATGACCTACCAAGAGAAACCTCACTCTCCTTTACGTGTTGATAAATTCTGCACTAGATTCCGTACACAGAAAGCACACAAGATTTGACAACCCCGTTTTGAACGAATTCCCTGCGCGACTGTTCAGGCTGCCCCATGATTTATCTTATTGTCATCACCAGCAGCGCTATGGCGCTGATGGCAGATATCCACGCAAAAGGCCAGCTGCATATTTTTCATGGAGCGAAATCTAGTGGTATGCCAAGTGTTCTTTCTGATTTGGATTCCAAGTTTTCTGATCACTCTAGCTTTGAAGATGCCTGTCCAACGGCATCAAGAGGGACAAATCGGAATTTCTTGGAAATTGTAAGATGGGCAAGCACTCTCAACATGGCCCATCACCCAAAAAGTGCATGATTCGCATGACTTTCCTTACCCTTGCCTTGCTGCACAGGCATCAAATGCTCATTTTTCCCCAGCGTTCTGCATCAGGACCGGGGGGTTGTCACGGAGTCATTCAGTACATATAGCCACTCTTGCAAAGAAAGGCCAGATGTATTGTAGACGGGGTTGTCAGGATGTTTTTGTTGGGGGTTGACAGTCTGACAGTCCAAACTAAAATCGGGAAGCAAGTTGGACACGTGGACACGTGGACACGTGGACGTCACGGACCAATGGATCGGGTCGGACCCAACACAGACCCCCGTAGCTGGGCAGCCTTGGTTGGTGCAGCGCGCCAGGTTCAAGCCAAGGTGCTTGCTGACCGCTCCAGCAACTTGGAGTAGAAACGTAAAGACCGGTCGTTTCGAAATTTTGAACACTGAAGTCACCGAAGTCATCTTTTCGTATTTATTCCACGTCCGTGGTGATCAAATCCTTTTCTAATCTAATCCTTGGTTCAAGTTGGTACATGTCACTCCACAACCCATTTCAGGTCGAGCCTGAAGATGCGCAGCGTTGGCCCCCAAGGGGCTGCGGTGCAGCGCTGATCTCATCTCATGGCCGTCTCACCGCAAAGGTTGGCATCTTGAGTGATGCCACCCAAGGGAACTCTTTAGAAGTAAGTACTGTACAGATTTGTACCATGTGTTACATGTTGAATGAATTGGTGGAACAAGAAATGTGTTTGGTTTTATAATGTTTTCTGTGAATGGTGGAGCCTGTTCTCGCTATTCAACAAGAAGTGATTTTTGTGAGCAAAGAGTCGCCCGACAACAACACAGGGCTGCGCTGCCCATGAAGCGAGCTGTGATGAAATATGTTGAAGCTGACAAAGCCCACAAAAAAAAAACGAGCATGCTGTTGACCTGTTTCATAGAATGTCTCAAAAGTGTGAACAATGACATTTTGGATGCCCTTTGGACTCTTCCAGACTCTTCCATTCAAATCATATTCAAATCGGTTTTTGATTTTGCCCATCTTATCACAGCCTTGTAGAGCTTGCAGAGCTTGCAGACCACCTCCTTGCAGAGCTTAAACTTCAAAGCCAGACAGGTTTGAACCATGGTGAGACAGTTGGAACATGAACTCCTTCGTGATTTAGTGAAAGCACCCAAACATGTTAAAACCAGGTGGGCTGACGCTCTGAAAATGCACTGATATCGACATGTTTCGAGTGATCCACCAAACTCTAAGCTGGAGTCGGCTTGCATCAGGGCATCTTGAACATTCGTCTTCAGTGAAAGAAGTAAACGTTGTTGGATTCATTGCAGCTTAAGAAAGGAGGTGGTCAGTCCTGGCGGATCCAGTGTTCGCACCTAGCAGTTTCGAGATCGTTTGTATGGAAGCCGGTAGGTTGATAGGTGAAAGCAAACACGGCAGATTCGCATAGATTGGCATCTTTCTGTTTTCGTTTTGCACCTTAGCTTTGTACAGCGTTCCACGCGCTGTTGATGTTGCTTTCGACTCCGAAGAGGCTAGCTTTAAGAGTCCAAGATGCAGATTGTGAACATGTTGCCCAACATGCTGAACATGTTGTTTCCCCTGTCACGTGCAGATCCTGGATCCAAATTCAAGCGACCATGACACATCCAATTGACTCGAAAAGGATTTGAGACAAGGGCAGACAAGGGCATTGGGCGACCGGTGGTTTGATTGAATGGATTTCTTAGCGCTTTGGCTATAGGGTTCTGGTATGCCTTAGAACTGCAGCTGCGTATCAAGTGGCATAAAGAATATTCTCTTTTCAGAAGACTTGGAAACAAGGGGATGTTTGGCGACTCTTGGCTGGTTGGATCTTCAGAAAATAATTGAAAACTCCAAATGTCACAGGACCATCTTTGAAGCATCAGCCAAGCGATAGAACTTGTGGCTTCACTGGCGTGCAATGCAAAGGCTGCAACTGGGCATCAAAATCTACCATTCTTTGTGTTAAGTACAGATGCCCAAAATCCCCTTAGTTTTTTTTCCCGCAGGGCTGGATGTTGGTCGCTTCTTGGTGTCGGTGGTACACAGCGTCAGCCAAAGCCGAGGTGCCGCCCGTGTTGGGCGCACTGTGCTTTGGATATGCTGCCAGTACCCTCAGAGGTGGGGACGCAATCACGTGGGAAAGCAAAGGACAAAGTCGCCGTGCCAGTATCCCAAGAGTATCCCAAGAGTATCCCAAGATCTGGTTATGAGGCGAAGCAAGCAGATATCAAGTTTAAATATGGTCTAATCGACACAGTACCATTAAATTTTGACCAAACCGGATCCCTTGGAATGGTGGGGCAGAGGTTGCACCGTGTTGCATCCTTAATGATCCATGCTACAGCGCCAATAGGTGGAGAGGAGTCTCAACTCCGACAACAGCTTCAGCACGAGGCATGGCCAGTTGGCTCCTGGAGGGGAATAAAGACCAAAAAACTTATACTTATCTCATTATCTCATTTATTCTCAATTTATCTCCCTTATGCAGATACTTGAAGAGTGAGTAGTCACTAGTTACCAGTAGTTCAGTGGTCTTCATTGAGTGGTTAGTAACGGTTGGTATTGATGACTAGTCATGACCCCAATTTTATTGTTTGACTTCCAGTGCCTTCAGGCTGAGGAATTGGACCAGCGACGTGGCTTTGCTGCGTTGGAGCAGTTCGGGGAAGTGACACGGTGACATGGTCAGTTGATCTGTCAATTGTTTCACTTATTAGACAAAATGCACCATGTAGGCATGCCCAGGTCACATTTTGAAACAGATCTGTCTCCATGTCTCTCCATGTCTCTCCATGTCTCTCCATGTCTCTCCATGTCTCTTGTTCAAGCTCTTTGCGTGTAGATTCCTGGCATTTCACCAAGCTCTTGAAGCCACAGCAAGTGGCTTCTCAGTCACAGCTGTCGACGTCGACATGTTCGGCATGTTCGGAATCTTTTTGTCGATGTGGTCATTCATGTGGTCACGGCAGACTGGATCACAACTGTCACAGCTGGATTTGAACTTTGTCACAAAAGATGATCAAAGAATTCCTCCTGATTTCCAGAAATTGAAATCAAGATGAAGCTGTATGAAGCTGTATGAAGCTGGCAGAGACGATTTCCAGGACTCGACTTTGCAGGACGGCAACGCTGAATTTCTGAAGGTATCATTTGCGTCTGCTCCGATGCTGGAAGAATGTCGATTTGGAGGTCTCCAGATCTTGACTGACTCCATCCGAGATATTCAGACCACAAAGTGGAAGATCAAAAACAGAACCGTAGAACATCGTAGAACCGTTGTTGAAAGCATGTGAAGTCGCGGCTCAAGCCAAGACTGCCCAATGGCACAGCGTGGTGGACGTGGACTTTCCACAACGGATCCTCATTCAGCGCATGGCCAACGCACTCCTATTGCTCTGCCAAGGTGTGTCCATGGCTTTCAACAATCTCTTGGAGAAACAAAGAGCTTGTTTGAAGCATCGCACAAGGGAAGCATTCGTGGTGTTCCCTTTGCATTCCTGTTCTCACGAAGCTAACCATGCATCAGCTTCTAGTTGTGACTTTGTACTACCAGCTGCGACCACTTCTGAATCGGGTCATGAATTCTCTCACGAGCTTAGAAGCGCAGCAAGTTGCCCACGTTGCGACTGATGTGGTCAGCGGCACGGAGCCGTTGTTCGATGCTGTTGCTCGGCAGTGGCGGATGTTTGGCTTCAATGCTGGGAGCTTCAAAAATGAAAGGCCAAGAAATGCCAAGAAAACGGATACCTGTGGATAATTGTGCATTTCAGGCGTTCAAGACCGATGGTGAATGGATGTGAATGGATGTGAATTGAATTGAACCAAAGATGTGGAACAGAATCACACAAGACAGCATAGCAACAGCATAGCTATGTGGTAAAGCAGCCCCTAGGAGCTGACGAGCAAGTTGCATCAGTCTTCTTTGACAGACCCTAAACCAAGTTGTTCCACAGAGAAAATCAATTCCAAAATTCCAAAATGGGTTGACTCTGGTTTTTTCTCTGGTTTCATAGCGAGTTCACTCAGATGCTCGGGCCGTGCGCCTGTGGCAGAAAGGTGGCAAGGCAGAAAAGAAGCTGCCCGCGGCAGGTTTTTGTCACAGTCTATAAGTCATTTCGAACAGCTTCAACATTTTTCAACATATTTCTTTTCACAAGTATACGTACTTTTCAGTCGCAGTTCATAAGGTATTCATTCTTTACTTATCTAAAAACTTTCAACATTTTCAACCTGTTTCTTTTCATTTCGAGCTTTGGTGCCTCACATGCCTCACATGGCTCCAGGCCTCACATGGCTTCAGCGGCCAAATCGCTCGGTGCAGTACAAGGCTTCGGCCATCCAGGAGGTGCACAACCGGAAGGCGCCGGCGAGACAAAATTTTCAAGATGAAGTGTTCTGTGAATAATTTGAGAGAAGCCAGGTGAACGTGTCTAACGTGTGTAACGTGTGTAACTCTGGATTTTCACATCGGGTGCCTCCATGGCCTCGTGGCCTCGTGGCCTCGTGGCCTCGTGGCGTGCCAGGCCTTGGGACCTGCCGGTGTACTGCTGAACCGCGGCGAGGCGACTTTTGTCGAAGCAATCGGAGCAATCGGAGCAACATGGAGCAGGAGAAATCGAGAAATGGCAGGAATAGCAGGAGAAATCGTGGAGAAATCGTGGAGTCCAAGTTGTTTCTTCGACGTTCCGCATTGGACGGGCCGGGTGTGTTCCTTATCTTGGCTTCAGAATCCTGGGATTCAACGGCATTGATCATGAAAAGGCAAATCCAGGTCCTAATTTGCTCTGAGATCATGAGCAAGCCGTTGGTCGCCGTTGGTCACCGTTGGTCTGTGACAAAAGGAATGCCTTTCCATCGATGAAGTTTCTTATCGGATTCTCGTTGTGCTGATCGTTGGGATGTCAATTGCTTGGATGTTCCATTGCAGGTTGTGGAAGTCCTCGAGGAGGGGGGGGGTGGTGGAGGGTGATGGATCAACGTGGAGCCGGGGTTCTGTGGTTTCAACTGTTTGTGCAATTCTTCAGAATGGAATATGATGTGGCAACGCACCACTTGGTTTATGCAGTTTATCAACATTGTATTGGAAGCAATGCAGACGAAGAGAATATGAACGTGCAGTTGTCTTGCGCACTCTTCTTGGAATAGTAGAGATGGAGAAACATTGTTTGCCATCTCCAAGCCTTGTAACTGCATAGGCATAGGTACATAAATGAGCATGAAAGATGACAAAGACGTGCACGAAGTAGACTCCAGATGGATGTGTTACCATGCACAGTTTCTTTGGCATTTTGAACTTCTTTTGTCCGAGAAAGCTGTTTTCTGCTTGGACCATTCTCAATGTGCAGCACTTGCAAAGCTAGCAATGCAAGTGTCCATCTTTCCCTGCTGGGGCCCAGTGGTCAAGTCTGAGGTGTGAGAATTCAAAGCAGAAGGACCTGCATCACATCAAAACTCAAGAACATGTTGGCCCCAACAAGTCTTCCCAGTTTCAAGGTGGATGTTGGATCATAGATTTCATAGATGCATGTCAAAATTGTTGATATAAGAAATTGATTTGGAAAACTGGCTGCCAAACACATATTCAATGCTTCCTTTCTTGCATGATCACATGCCTCTTTACTTGCTGAAGCAGAAGTACAGCTGACTTCGAGCCATGGCAACGCTGCTTGGAGCATGAAGCCTGGTCTTTGAGGCCCACTTGGAGGACAGAGAGAACTTCTGCACGTTGCACAAGGATTTTTATTGGCAGCTCAAGAATCCGATGTCTGCGAGATAAATTCAATGTATTTGCAGGTTAGATCGGTTAGATGAGTGCATTTTCCCTCCTTTAAGGTGACAAAAGTCTCACTTCACCTTGGAGCCAGGATGTTGACTTTCCTGCACCTCGGCTGACTTTTTTGTTGGCAGGTCCAGCAGTTCCAGACTCGGCCTGTTCCTCTTCAGTGCAGTCTTTGAATCGCAATCCAAGGAATATCGGCCTTTTGCCGGACAGTCTGAATGGCAACTGCCTTTTCCGAAAGACAGCAGCTCGCTACAAAATGTTACACTTGTCAAGTTTTAAGTGCCATGTATTGCTCTATAGAGCACACTTGCCATTTCACACATTTGAACAGGCCCCGACCCAGTCTTGTGCAGAGCGCTATGCAGAGTTTCTGGGATGTAAGCAGGACCCAACAGGGGCTTTTACTTGGATCATTTTGTTACCTTTCCTGGATAATTTTATCATCAATGATTTTGCCAGGTTTTCAGCAAGTTTCGCAAGTGGTTTTGAAGACGTGGATTATGGTGGAATCATTTGGAGTAGTAATATTTGGAGAAATGAGTGCACACTTTATGATGAATTGCATCCATGCTAAAATTGCAAATAGCACCATAGAGGAATGATTCTAATGCGCGGAAACCATGGGGAGGTTGTCTCTCATGTTTGAACAGGTGAGGGAAACGTTGTCTATATCAGGTAGGCACTGTAAGCTGCTTAATTTGCACAAAAAATACGGCTATAACGAGCTATACTCATACAGATACGGCTTGCAGTGTGGGGACTTGGAATGAAAGAAGGACCTTGTGATTTCCGTGCATTCGAAGATCATTCGAAGTATCGGAAAGTGCTAGGAGACCCCGAAGGTAATTTTGTTTTTTCCACCTGTCGATCTGCAGGAAGCCAGAGCAATTCAGTGTCTTGGCACCCACTTTTGGTGTGCTTGAAATGATCATTGACATGATCAGCATTGTTTGCGTGGCGTAAACATGTTTTTGACATTTGCAGTCATGCCCAAAGTTCAGGCAGGAAAGCGACATGAAACTCACAGCCAGGCGAATGTCTCTGGCGCATGGTGCGCAATCACTCTATGCTATGGCCAGTGAGGCGGTGGAAAAGATTTGTTTCAAAAGCAGATGCAGAAAAAACAAAAGACCAGTGAGTTTGGAGAGATGCCTTGGTGCGAGCAGCACTGGGAATAGACACGAGCATCTAAGACACCGGCGCAAATTTCGAGAGCGAAGCTTTGTTGACTATAGCGTGAGGCCTCATCAGTGGTGCTGCCGTACATCAACAGCGCTGTTGGCATCTCGGCCGCAATGCCTTTCCACTATCCTCCGATGGGTCTTCCACTCGACCATGCCCAGCTCAGGTGGGAATGTGCAGACATTTGCACAGACACCAAGCCGCAACTAATAATAGCTGCACTCTTTGGATTTATTGAGAGTATGTTGGCTTCAGAATTTCTCTCCAATTTTGCAAGCAGGATGTGTTTCTGCTCTGCGCTCTTATGGTCCATTGAGTCCATTGCTTTTTGCAATGGCTTGTTGATTGGTTCTTGCTAGGGATCACATGCAACACACATGATCATACATGATCACAGATGATCACATATCATTCCCAGGAGAAAGTTTCGTCGAAATCTCCGTTTTGGGCCGAGGATGCAAAGCTTCGCCGCGGTGTCGCAGGTCATGGGCGGTCTTTTCTTCGGACAGAGTGCTGATCGATTTGGCACTCGCTGGGCCTTGTTGACAGCACACACTGCTGCAATGAGTGGCTGGGCAAAAGCCGACATTTCATGGGAAGCAAGGCGAAGGTTCTCAGAATTTGACAACCCTTCATTTCGTGGATATTTTCACGATGTTTTCCTCTGACGTTGCAAGAAACCATCCTTTTCAAAACAACGTATATATATTCGCTGCGTTTTGGTACTTAGTGCCATTTGATTTTTTGTTGTGCTTTCCGCAGTCATCTAAATCCTTTCGGTTCTGCAAGTTGTTTCGTGTCTCAGGCAGTGCCTTTCTGGTGGCAACGGCTCGCACACAGAGATCTCTCTTTTGTGCTATGGTTCCGTTGACTATGGCACATGGCTTCCAAGCACTCTAGACTGCACAGATCGAAGCATGGACTTTTCAGAACTCAGTGAAAGCACATGTATTTTGTGGTTTAAGCACAGCTTGCTAGGTTTGTGATCTTTTTCTGCTGGAGTTTTCCATTTGGGCATGCAATCCTAGACGATTTGAAGTATTAAAGCGGAAATGTATGGAAGCCTTCGGTATCCTTCGGTCCTTTTCATGGCGCGAATCCTTTTTTCTGCCGTGCAAGGCTTGCTCTATGCTTGCTCTACATTGGTCGGACTGTAGCCTCTTAGGGTTCTTGCTGAGGCCTCATCACAGATTGCGGTACATTGCTCTGAGCCTGAAGATCGGTCAGTGGCTTGCCGTGAGCAAAGGCAGGTAGTGGAGCGCATGTTGAAATATTGAACAGCAGTTTATCATTTGCACACATGCTAGTTAGGCGGGGTTTGTGCATCAGCGTAGGAATTGATTTGAGAATGCCTTGCATGCATTTTGTTCACTGTTTCCTGTCCGCTGGCTTTATTTCTTCGCTTCATACACCCACAGTACCTCTCACAGCATAAGACACAGAAAGTGCCAGCGCTGAGGTAGCTATGGGCCGCATTTCAGCCAGTTAGAAGCTCGGGGATTGAGCAACGCAAAGTGTAGAGTTTGTTGGAGCTAACATGCACAAGAAGCTTAAGAGATCAAGCAAAGCATGTCTGGATGTGGTAAAAAGTTTTACTCCTCGCATACTATGCCAACATTCTCAGAAAAAGCAGAAGATCCCATGGGCTTTTCGACTGAAGGCTTGAGGGGCTTGAAAAGTGTGAAGTGATGTTCTTTGATCCGTGTCGAGCCTGTCGAGCCTGTCGAGCATGTTGAGGTTATGGTCTGGGCTTCTTCGCTGGGACTTTGGTCACGGCCTACGCGGCACAGCATCTGACTCCACGGCAGATCGCCTGGGGTGCTGTTGCCTTGGAGGAGCTCAGAGCGGAGCTGCCCGGTGGAGCATAGGAAACTTAGGAAAGCACAAAACGTAAGAGAGATACTAAACAGATCGAAGGATGAACGTGGGCAGAAATGTCCTCAAGTATTCAACCATATATTTGTGTAGATGAAGTTATGCATGCTAAGACCGAAAGGGCAAGTGATGATAGCCAGAGGGCAATAAAGGATTGTGGAATAAGAGGAGAAGACGCCACCCCACGGATATTCATCAGTGTCTCCAATTCTGGTGGGGCTTTGGGCTCTTCCAGAAGCCAGCCAGAATATGTTGTAAGCTGGTCTAAATTGGAAACAATTCTACGTGCCAGACCTTTGCAGGCCAGCGTTATCTCAAGCGTCCTGGTCTTTTATCCAGACGGTGCCTTGTTTGCCTTGAAGCAGTGTTTTGGTGAAAGGAACCAGAGAGAGATAGAGGGACTGGAATGAAGTAAGCCTGTGCGGAAAATACATCATGGATTCCAAAGAGTCCAAGGCAAAGTTCTTTGTCCGGTTGATTTTATTCGGTAAATTCTTCGTTTATCCTTGACATGGATGAGCCATGTTGTCAAGGTGATGACACCGTCACCAGTGCGCAGCCAGCGTCTTCCTTTTGGGACATTCTCAAAAGTAACTTGTCAAGACTGACTGAGATCAGCCTGAGAAAGCGCCTAATGTCTCATGCTTTGCCGCTTTCAGAGAAATTGCTGCCCAGGACCGCATGTTTTGTCACTGGTGCTATCCAAAGCGGCATTATCAACAGCAGGACGGGTTCCGTAAGCTTCTGGAGTAGAAACGTGAGAAAGTTGATTGACCACTCCGCTTCCATCCTGGCAAGGTGGCATGCTTCTTGGCATGGTCACCCAATTTGCCATGGACGCTTGGAAATAAAGCCCACGAACCCGAATGCTCACACGTATGTTAATGGTACAGATGTCAAAACACATGGTTTTGCAGTCACGCGCAATACCTTTCTGCAATAGTTTATTTGAACAGTCTTGTACATGTTTCCCTTGTTACCAGTCTGCAGTGTGGAGTCGAAAGTGTAGAGTGTGGAGTGTGGAGTGTGAAGTAAGGAGTGTGGAGTGTAAAGTGTGGAGTGTAGAGTGTGTAAAGTGTAGAATGCGGAGTGTAAAGTGTAAAGTGTGGAGTAAGGAGTGTAAAGTGTAGAGTGTGGAGTGTAGAGTGTGGAGTGTAGAGTGTAGAGTGAGGAGTGTAAAGTGCAAAGTGCAAAGTGTGGAGTGTGGAGTGTAAAGTGTAAAGTGAGGAGTGTAAAGTGTGGAGTGAGGAGTGTGGAGTGTAAAGTCAGGAGTCAGGAGTGTAAAGTGTGGAGTGAGGAGTGTGGAGTTTGTAAATTGTAGAGTGTGAAGTGTAGAGTGTAAAGTGTAGAGTGTAAAATGTAGAGTGTGGAGTGTAGAGTGAAGCGTGTGGAGTGGTGAGTGGAAAGTGTAGAGTGTGGTGTGTAGAGTGTGGAGTGTGGAGTGTAAAGTCTGGAGTGTAGAGTGTGGAGTGTGGAGTCTAAAGTGTGGAGTATGGAGTGTAAAGTGTGGAGTGTAAAGTGTCGAATGAGGAGTGTAGAGTGGAAAGCGTGGAGTGTAAAGTGTGGAGTGTAGAGTGTTTAGTGTAGAGTGTAAAGTGTAGAGTGTGGAGTGTGGAGTGTAAAGTGTGGAGGGTAGAGTGTGGAGTATGGAGTGTAAAGTGTGTTGGAAAGTGTGGAGTGAGGAGTGTAAAGTGTGGAGTGTGGAGTTTTAAAGTGTGGAGTGTTGAGTGGAAAGTGTGGAGTGCGAAGTGTGAATTGTAAAGTGAGGAGTGTGGAGTGAGGAGTGTAAAGTGTGGAGTGTGGAGTGAGGAGTGTAAAGTGTGGAGTGTAAAGTGTGGAGTGTCGAGTGAGGAGTGTAAAGTGTGGAGTGTGGAGTGGAAAGTGTGGAGTGTGAAGTGTGGGGTGTGGAGTGTTGAGCGTAAAGTGTAGAGTGTGGAGTCTGGAGTGGAAAGTGTAGAGTGTGGTGTGTAGAGTGTGGAGTGTGGTGTGTAAAGTGAAGAGTGTAAAGTGTGGAGTGTGGAGTGAGAAGTGCAAAGTATAAAGTGTGGAGTGTGGAGTCTAAAGTGTAGAGTGTGGAGTGTGGAGTGTAAAGTGTGGAGTGTAAAGTGTCGAGTGAGGAGTGTAGAGTGGAAAGCGTGGAGTGTAAAGTGTAAAGTGTGGAGTGTTTAGTGTAGAGTGTAAAGTGTAGAGTGTGGAGTGTGGAGTGTAAAGTGTGGAGGGTAGAGTGTGGAGTGTGGAGTGTAAAGTGTGGTGTAAAGTGTGGAGTGAGGAGTGTAAAGTGTGGAGTGTGGAGTTTAAAGTGTGGAGTGTGTTGTGGAAAGTGTGGAGTGTGAAGTGTGAATTGTAAAGTGAGGAGTCTGGAGTGAGGGGTGTAAAGTGTGGAGTGTGGAGTGAGGAGTGTAAAGTGTGCAGTGTGGAGTGTAAAGTGTGGAGTGTCGAGTGAGGAGTGTAAAGTGTGGAGTGTGGAGTGTAAAGTGTGGAGTGTGAAGTGTGGGGTGTGGAGTGTTGAGCGTAAAGTGTAGAGTGTGGAGTCTGGAGTGGAAAGTGTAGAGTGTGGTGTGTAGAGTGTGGAGTGTGGTGTGTAAAGTGAGGAGTGTAAAGTGTGGAGTGAGGAGTGTAAAGTATAAAGTGTGGAGTGTGGAGTAAAGTGTGGAGTGTGGAGTGCGGAGTGTGGAGTGGAAAGTGTAGAGTGTGGAGTGTGGAGTGTAAAGTGGGCAGTGTGGAGTGTAGAGTGTGGAGTGAGGAGTGTAAAGTGTGGAGTGTGGAGTGTAAAGTGCAGTGTGGAGTGTGAAATGTGGAGTGGAAAGTGTAGAGTGTGGTGTGTAGAGTGTGGAGTGTGGAGTGGAAAGTGTAGAGTGTGGAGTGTAGAGTGTAAAGTGTAGAGTGTAAAGTGTAGTGTAGAGTGTAAAGTGTAGAGTGTGGAGTGTAAAGTGTAAAGTGTGGAGTGTAAAGTGTGGAGTGTGGAGTGTGGAGCGTAAAGTGTAGAGTGTGGAGTCTGGAGTGGAAAGTGTAGAGCGTGGTGTGTAGAGTGTGGAGTGTGGTGTGTAAAGTGAGGAGTGTAAAGTGTGGAGTGAGGAGTGTAAAGTATAAAGTGTGGAGTGTGGAGTGTACAGTAAAGTGTGGAGTGTGGAGTGCGGAGTGTGGAGTGGAAAGTGTAGAGTGTGGAGTGTGGAGTGTAAAGTGGGGAGTGTGGAGTGTAGAGTGTGGAGTGAGGAGTGTAAAGTGTAAAGTGTGGAGTCTAAAGTGTAAATTGTGGAGTGAGGAGTGTAAAGTGCAAAGTGTAAAGCGTGGAGCTTCCCCATAGACACGGCGACGCCACAGGAAAACCAGAGACTTGAGACGAGACACGTGGGTGCAAAAAAACGAGCATTTCGTGCGAGACTTCCTCCAATTTTGATATTCTCGACACGTTATCAAACAGGTTGGAATGTCACAAAGTGCCACGCCTGCCACGCAAAATGACATGACAACCTGCTTGGACACATTCGAATAGGAGATGTTTTCCAGCTTCCCCCATAGACACGGCGACGCCACAGGAAAACCAGCGACTCGAGACAAGACACGTGGATGCAGAAAAACCAGCATTTTGTACGAGACTTCCTCCAATTTTGACATGTTTGACACATTATCAAACAGGTTGGAATGTCAGAAAGTGCCACGTCTGCCACGCAAAACGACATGACAACTTCCTTGGAAACCTTTGAAAAGGACAGGTTTTCCAGCTTCCCCCATAGACACGGCGACGCCACAGGAAAACCAGCGACTCGAGACAAGACACGTGGATGCAGAAACGAGCATTTCGTGCGAGACTTCCTCCAATTTTCACACTTTGGCAAACATGCCGAAGAGCAGCTTCCCCCATAGACACGGCGAAACCACATAAAACCAATGACGCGAGACGAGACAGGTGGAAGCACCAAAACGAGCATTTCATGCGAGACTTCCTCCAATTTTCACACTTTGTAGCTTCAAAATCGACGTTTTCCTACGAGTTTTCTTAGAACATGAAAATTTTGCAACCTCAAAATCGATGTTTCGTGCGAGGCTTCCGTCAATTTTCAGCACATCGCACAAAATGCCACGACTGCCATGGAATTTGCACCTTGTCGCCACTTGACGCAGCCCTGCCAATGCGATTTACAAAAAACACGCAACACGACACGTCTAAAGTGCTGCGCCTGCCACGAAAAATGACGATGGACACGTCCAAAGTGCTGCGCCTGCCACGAAAAATGCAAGACATCTTGTGAAAACGTCGCGAAAGTATTACACCTGCCACACAAAACGACTTTCGACACGGTCCAGAACACGTCTGAATGTCACGAAGTGCCACGCCTGCCACGCGAAACGAAGCAACGACACGTCTGAAACCTCCAAAAATGACCACCTCTGCAGAACTTCCCATAGGCACGGCCATACGGACCTCGTACGAACGGTTGCGGACGGTTGCGAACGGTTGCGAACGGTTGCGGACGCGGACGCAACGTCGAGCGAACACACTCTCAACCCCCAGACCCCCAGAGTGAAACGGGAACCCTTGCTACGCATTCGGGGAAAAGTCCATTAGACAGATGGCAAGTATATATGTAATGTACATACATACATTACATCACATTACATTACATTACATTATCTGCAAGCAGATATCTCACCGCAAGCATCTCTCACAGCCAAAATTCACGTAGTCAAGATTGAATCAGTGCGAATGATCCTTCCGCAGGTTCACCATGGTTCACCTACGGAACCTTGTTACGACTTCTCCTTCCTCTAAGTGATATGTTCTCCTTCAGCCAGCGCTTGTTCGCCCAGGATCCCTTCAATTTCTCCACTGCGCAGACTAGCATCCTGATGGCTTATGCGGCTTTTCTTCAAATATCAGGGCAACAACCTATGATTTGTTCCGCTTTTGATCAAGCTTTGATCACAATGGAACAAGTGGAACAAGAGCACTTGCGTTCCCACATCTTTCAGCTTTGGGCCATTCATGCTGCACCTTCGCACACATTGCTAGCACAGTATTTCATTCACAGCTAGTAGACTCTGGTAGGCTTTGGGATGAGCTGTTCGATGACAGCTAGTCACATGTCTCGAAAATGTCTTTGCATATTGACAGCTTTCTCAGACACAGTCACATGATTCTTAGGTGGGAGGCGCGCAGCTGCTCTCTCAGGCGAGCCAAGATGATCTGAAGAAATCTGAAGAAATCTAGACCATGCGACAGCTGCGACGGTTGTGACAGTTGTGACAGTCCGTGAGTCATGAGTCCATGCCGTCCATGCCAAGATCTCACCGCTTCGCAGACCTTCGTGGTTCCTCAGCTTGGCAGCTTGAAACCGTGGGAGCTTCGAATGTTTTCGACCTCTTCCTTGCTGTGCTGACCTTAGTTTTTGAGGCGGAAGTTTAGTACTTTTGAAATGCAGGAAAGTCTCAGGAAAGTGCAGCCGTTTGCTTTCTGCATTTATGGAACTTCTGGGTGAACGTCTGGCAAGCGTGTTAGAGAAGGGCCGTCGCTTTGTTTCAATACTTCCACCGTTCAAGCATTTGACCCATACCATGGATAAGCGCAGCAGTGCAGCTTGTAGGCTTCCGTTGGTTGGCCTCAGCGTGTTTGGTTCCACACCCTTGGGCTACTGCATGTGGATGGGACCTTTGGCTGCTGCGGGCTATGGTGGCAACACAGCGCTTGGCAGTGCCTTCGCATGCACATCAGCAAAAAGATTTCAAATCCCCGACTGCGTTTCAACTATCAATTAACCCTGGCTTCCCAGCGCTGTCTTCCAACCTGGCAACGCATATCTTCACCTTCTAGACTTTCGATTTTCGCACATCCATTGGTGCAAGTTGGAGGCCTTATGTCTTGCCTGGCGCCAGAAAGTGAGTCAGGCAGGTCAAAGGTTCCCATTGCTTGAGACAATTGTCACACAATGCTCAGTTCACTGAGTTCACTGCTGACTCTTTCAGCCATACAATTACGCTTAGCTCCTTCGCTTTTCCAGTCGGCCAGGTTCCATGGTTGCTTTGGGCCTGGCGCCGTTGAGTTTAGGTTTCATGGTGTCGCCGCTCTTGTCAAGTTGGGCTGCGTGGAAGCATTTCATTGCTTGACTACTTTCATTACTTGACTGTGGTGTAACTTGCATCATTGCACGGGCGCTGTCGGGCATTGAGGTTTACCAAAGCTTTGGATTTCGCATGGTGCCAGCAGTGGCAGCCACAATATTGTCGCTTTGAAACAAAAGTATTATTTTGAGTTCATGTGTTTGGAAAGGTTTCGCACATGGCATGCAAAGTAGCAAGTTGAGATTGTGTCAGGCCTCAACAGTAGGGAACTGAGTTTTCAGGTGTGGCGCGGCACTTGCCATCGAAATGATAGATAGCGGTGAAGACGTTCCTCCTGAAGATGAAATTTGTGATTCTGACGATGAAGCATCACAGCTGCAATTTGCGAGCAACGCTGTGAAGGAATTCGTTTCTCTTGTTTTGAGAAGATCCAAGGAGGCAACAGAAGGCTGCCAGCATGAGTCAGAATGTACCTAGTTGTTCAACCTGTACAAAGCAACCAGGCCCAAAAAATTGGGTTTCAAGCATTGCGCTGGACCGGAAAAGGAAAGCCTGCTTGCGTTCAATGGGTTTTTGCATTTTTTGCTTGTGCTCCAGCCCCTTCCAACTTCCAGTACCAACAAGTTCTCCGTTGTTTTGCGTTACCAGGATGGTCAGGGGATGGAGCAAGGCTTCAGCGTCCCTTGTCTGAAAGTCAACATTCACCCGCGTCATACATTCAGCAGATTGCCCATCTGACTGCCGTGTCAAGGTTGTACGCCGCGAGAGTGGTGATATGGGGATTTTCCCCAAACAATATCTCCGATCAGAAACAAATGGATGAAAACCGAAAATGCAAGTGGAGATTGAACACAACCGCGACGTGCCTCACTTCATCCGACACATTTTTCCATTTCACCTCACATCAACTTACCTTGCATTACTTCATCCCACAATCTCATGACACATAAAATCCCCCCCACCACCCCGTCTTCCATCATTTCACTCCATGCCATACACACATTGTCACGAAAGGTAGCTCCTGTGAGGCTACCTTGAATTTTACTTTACGAACTCCCCCCCACATAGTTCAATCCCCCTTTCAGCCGCCCAGATCTTTTACCCAACAGGGACCTTTGGAATGTTTATTGTCTTCGCTGCGCAAGCAATGTGTTTTCTTGTTTTTGGTTCGCATTTTTCTTTGGACAACCCCTGCTGATTGGTGATTTGTTCGAGTGTTTACGGACCACACCCTAGCCCCCTTAACTGCATGGGGAAGTGGCCCGCCTGTCCGCCTAGTGTTGCACCCGGGCATTGAACCCGGGCCTTATCCACTAGACCATACCAGCCCTCTGCTGATTGGTCATTAAGTTGCGCCCATCGAATTTTATGGTTATGTACCAGCAGCTTTGGGGCGCAAACAGACGCTCCAAAGGGCCGTTGGTCGGGTAATGTTTTGAGGATGCAGGCTTCTCCTTACATGCCCTGGTTTAATTGACATACCAGACAAGGATGTGGCGGAAGTTTCAAAGATAGGAAACCTAAAGGAGAGGTTGATTGTTGTCAATCATGGATGGCTAAGCGAACACACTGATGGCTCGAAAGGTGATTCGAATGTCGGGCTATGTATCTGTCTATCTATTTGTCTATCTTTCTATGTATCTATCTATTTGTTTTCTATCTTATCTGTCAATCTATATGTCTATTTTTCTATTTGTCCATCTGTCTATCTATCTGTCTGTCTATCTATCTGTTTAATCATCTATTTATTTTTTGTTTATGCGTTTATTTGTCTTTCTACCTGTCGATTTATATATTTGTTTATCTATCTGCTTATCACCCTATCTAACCATCTGTCTGTCTATCTGTTTATCCAGCCATCTCTCTATCTATCTATCTAT